CCCCCGCCTTGGTGTGTTCAATTATTTGGTTTCTTTATTTCATTATATCCTTTTACTCTCAGCAGGTATCGTAATTTTCTTTAGTGCAAGGGAATTCCAACCGTGTTCAATCTACACGTCCCCGTAAGTGTCATATGCTCTTGCCAAATTCTGCATGGTTTTCAGGTCCGTGTGGAAGGTGTAAAGCATCCGGTATCGATGGGAGTGATAATTCAGTTGTGTCGCGGATTCTTGCATACTGTAACAGAATAGGTTGTTAAAAAGGTCTACATATTATGCAACAGCGCCATCTAACATTCAGTCGTACTTAAATTTCTTGAGAAAAACCAAGAAATTTGTTCTTGTTTTCACATGATAGTCAGATTGTCGCACTGAGTTGACAGACTTTCTGTTGTCATTCATGCAAATTTCCAAGAACGTATAATCTCATGATGGCATGTTTGGTAGGGGGACAGCTATCCACAAAGAAAAATGCCCTATGTACGGGGCATTTTTTCACAGAGGTGATACAGGAGAGCCACATGGGGATGGGCCCCATATAAATATTTTATTGAGGTGGGCCTCAATCTTGTGTCTATTTTGTGAATTGTCTGTATGATTTTTCCTTGTAAGTGCAGTACCATTCATCCACAAGACAATTGATAAATTTCTTCACGTTTTGTTTAATTTTGTCTCATCCGATAATTTAACCGTTGTTTGGTGCTTAATTTAATTTTTTTTTTTCAAGTTTATTTTCAATCATATATTTAAATGGGGTGCACAACTTTTATTAATTTTTCAATTACATGTATTACTAATTTTTGGCAAAATCTTCTAGAAATTTATTTTTAATCCAAAACAAACAGGGCTCGATAGCGAGGTTTACTCTAAAATTTAATGAATTCAATTAATAATAATTACTATTATTATTATTATTATTTTTGTGGTGGGTGAAACAAGAACCAATAGTTTTGTTATGGTGGTATCATTGGTTCCATTGATTATTATGGAGCTCAACTGGAATCAACATGAATGGTTTTGATTTTATTTATTTCTGTTCGTCCATAACTAAATATTTAAATTATTAATGTAAATTGCAATACAAAATTCTATTATGAAAAGTTAATAATTACATTCAAAATCAAAACAATGAACTTCGTTCAATGCAAACGGAAAGGGTATTTCTATTCTTGTTCTAAGAATTACTACCTTTTAAAATTTTGTCAAAATCAAATTGAATTGATCAATTTAGATTTGGTTCGATTAATTTTGATTCTTGTCCACTCCTAGCCCGTGTTTGGCTCCCGTTTTTTCATTTTTTTTTAAAACTCATTTTCAAACACATATTCTCCTATAAAATAATTTTTCAAGCAAATTCATTTTTATTTTTTATTTTTTAACTTTCTGACCACATTTTTCAACAAAACACTATATTAAGCCCTGTTTGATCCCCATTAATTTCTATTACATTACATTTCATTTCATTTTTCTCTCTCCTATTTTCAACCACACAATCTTTCATAAAATAATATTACACGTAAATCGAAAACTTTTCCTTCTTTTTCAACCACTCATTTTTCTAAAAAATACTATTCCCCCATTTTCATTTTCAGGTAATGGAGATCAAACAGGAGTTAAAAAGTATTTTGGCCAAAAATGGACACGAGTAAGACAAGGGTATCCATATAATGTCATTTAAATTAAAGTCCTTCTAAAGGGTGTGTATGATTGAGGGTGTGTATGATTGTAAATAGGAAATTTACATAGAAAGAAAATAAATTTTAGGCAATTGAATTATTTAGAAATTATTTGCATTGAAATTTTCAATTAGATGTGTTTAATTAATTTTATTTGTAACGTAGAAAATGTTATACTTGTCTATTTTTAATTGATATCCAAATAGGAGAGAGGGAGTAGATGAGAGGGAAGAGAGTGAATTACCTAAAAATAAAAGTGAAAATTACACAGGAGCAGATTTTTAAAGATTGTAGTTCAAAAACCATTTAAAAAGTTTATCAGATGATAATTCAACTAATAATAATAATAAAAGTAATATACAGATTAACCCAACCCAACGCAACCCCACGTCACGCACACCACCACATTCATCTCAATTTTAATCCAAATCCTAATTTATTTATACTTCCCTCCCTCATTCCTTCCTACCGACGGTCTTTTCCTGTGACTTCTCTCTAGAGCCGCGTTGACGATCAATCATCGTTGGAGAAATCGATGCACAAAGGCCTTTGTATTTTCTATTTCCCACCCTCTTTATCCCGATGTCGATCGACAGTGCACGCAAATTTGCAGATTCGACGGTTGTAGTAGTGGCATCGTGGCTTTAGAGGTTTGCATTGCAATTACCAGATGATGGTGGGGTGATGGTCGGTGTGGTTTTTTTGTTGAGGTTCGGTTGGACTATAAGGCGCTCTATCTCATCTATTTTCTTGTGTTGATTGTTGTGGTGGTTGTGATTGTTAATAGTGCAGGTGGATTTCGGGATATTTTTTGTGGGGTTGTGATTGTGATGTGGTAGAGATGGCAGACTGTTGCTGGTGGTGATAGAGATGGTGATAGAGATGGCGGTGGTAATGGTTGTGGTTGTGGATTGGTGGTCGTAGCGGTGGCAATGGTGGTGGTGGCGACGACCGCTATGGCTGCGGTGATAGTAGGTTTGGGAATTTTTGTTGGTCATGGCGATGTGATGTGGTGTGGTGTGATGGAGATGGTGGTTCTAGTGGTGGTAATGAGGTTGTGTTGGATTGGGGCTATATAAAATGTACTGAGACCGATTATTTACTTATTATAATCAATAAATTTGTTAATTTGTCGCCAATAAATAATATGTTATCAATTATTTGATATTGCGACAAACAAATTGGATATTCATAATCAATAAATAATATGTAAATGATAAATTATAACCAATAAGTAATATGTGACCTAAAAATGTGAGTCGTGACTTATAAAATTTGTGATTTTTTGCCTCCTTAGTCTCCTTTAGCCGATTCAGATAGCCCTTTTCTAAAAACCTTTCTATAATACAATATAAGATAAGCTCGAGTAACCAATAAATAAATTGTGATTTATAAAATTTTTAGTTTGTGATCGTGAAATAATTCGTAACTTTTAAAAATATTGATCTGTAATCGAGAAATAATTTTGTCATCAGTTAATTCGATATTTTGTAATCAAAGAATATAGAATCATGACAATAATACATTGAATTAATAAAATATATTTCTAATTAATTATTTCATAAATAAAAATTAATTAATATCTGATTTTTGAAAATTTGAAATCTTGTTTCTTAGTTTTGAAATGGATCGTACTAATCTCTTAAATATAATTTTTTTTCAAGAATAAAAACATACTTGCCTGAAAAAGTACCTTTTTTTTCCCTTGTTTTTAAGGAAAAATATAGTCATGTGATCAATAATAGGAAAATATTTTTCATGTGAAAAAATCAATTAAGCAGTATAAAAGTAAGGATTCAGGTGGAAAATGATATTTTTCATGAAAAATATTGACAATCTAATTGCTGCACGAAATTCTTGGCATCAAGTGTAGTTTGGCCCAAATACTCTTTCACTTTTTCAGTAAACTTGTAAAAATCGACTTGCTCAAATAAATTATCTAACTTTTACTCATTGCCTAGCTGGATTTAAGATCAATTTCCAATTTGATCATGACAACAATGATTTTTTAGTTTAAAAGTTAACGTCAAAATACATGTTGTTTCATTAAATTCGAAAATAAATGGGATCGGGTTGCCCTCTCCGTCCCACCCCATCAGAGATGCCTAAGAGTCGGCCAGGAGTTGGATATCAATTATAATCTCTCTTTTACTTATATATTTTTTATAATATAAGGGTAATTAGAATAAAATGTCCTTACCTTTTAATGTTATTGTGCCAAAACGTTCATACCATTTATTTTTATTTTTTTACATTTTCACCTCTATTTTCATCCTTTCATTGTGGATAATTCTCAATAAAAACTATAAAATGACAAATATATCATTCTATTTAAATAAGCAAAAAGAAAAGAAGAAAGCAAAATTAAATAAGAAATTACAATTATACTCCTAATCTTTTCTAAAAAAGCAAATTAGTCAAAATAAACTATTAAAAGAGTAATTCAAACAAAACGTCTCTACTTTTCAATATTATTAGCAAAATGTCCATACATTTTCTTTTTTGGCATTTTCACCTTTTTTCACAGTTCATTACAAAAATCATCATTTTCATATATTTTCTCAATTAAAAGATGTAAAATGATGATTATGCTCTCATATTTAAATAAAACAAAAATAAAGAAATGAGAAATAAAGAATAAATTGCCCAATTTTTTCAAAAAAATAAGAATAAATTTCAAATAAATAATTAAAAAAGAAATGAAAAACACTTTCTTCTTTTAATTATTTAATTAGAATTTATTTGTATTTGTATCTGTATTTTTTTATTTGAAAATTTTGGGAGTATAGTTGCAATTTGCACATTACTTTTTTTTATTTAAATAGGAGGATATATTTATCGTTTTACAACTTTTAATTGAGAAAATAGATGAAAATGATGATTTTGCAATATAATGTGAAAGTAAGGGTGAAAATGCAAAAAAAAAAAAAAAAAAAAAAAAAAAGAAAGTTTTAAAAAAAGGGACGTTGCATTAAATACATAGCTTGTGCTTACCTTAAAAATTAAATTTACACGGTTAACAAAATGGGTGCTTATCTAAGTTCGGTAATTTAATGGCTCATAAGATTATCTTCATTTTAATTTCACCTCTTCTTTATTACTTCATTTCCCAAAAAATAAGCCAATACATTCCTTTGATCCCTTCTATAAAGCAGATTATCTACGTATGCACAAAGTTGCACAAGCTTGGAATTCAAGAAAAGCAAGTTGTGGCTGAAAAATGTCAAAACATGAAAATTATGGACATTTTGCACAATAATATTCAAAGGTATGGACATTTTGTTCTAATTACCCTATAAGTAATTTAAAGTAAATTAAATTTGCTTTTAAGCGATGCCATACGTTTTTTACTCTTATTGACAAACATGGCCTTATACCATTCGTAATATTTTCCTTCCTTGAGAAAAGAAGAAAATACCATTGAGATAAATTTTGACTTCCATCTCTGCAACTCAAACCAAGTCCTCTCTCTTCTTCGCTTACAGTTGAATTATTCATGGACTAATTTCAAGAGTTCCTGTATGATTTTCTTCCTTTGATCTATTTTCACTTCTTTTTCTGAATCTGAATCGCTGTATGTGTATTTTAACCTGTAAAAATTAATAATGATTTTTTTTCTTTTTTTCTTTTTATATTAGTTATATTCTTTTTTCTTCCAATTTCCGAACAATCAGACTATATATTTGATGCTTAGCGCGCTTATTTTGCATTTTCGTTTTTAAATTTTTATATAGCTGCTGCAAATTTTCGGCTACATGTAATTCTGGATGCAGAATTTTTGTGAAGGAAAACAAACTTATTTGACTTTGAAATATGCACAAAGTTTTCACCTTTATCATATTTATTATTGTAGGTATTAATATAATTGATTAAAAGTAACTTCGTAAGGAAATATTTTTCAAGAAATCTTAATTGTTATCAGGTGTAGAGAAAGTTCAGGTATAGTTGAAATTCCAAAAATGACTCTAGATGTTGCCAAACTCTGGAGCT